TCTCTCTCTCTCTCTCTCTCTCTCTCTCTCTCTCTCTCTCTCTCTCTCTCTCTCTCTCTCTCTCTCTCTCTCTCTCTCTCTCTCTCTCTCTACCACAGTGCATTTTCCCCATTCCTTCATATATATGTTATCTGAGCTTTTCTCTCATACCTGAAGATGCAGCCAGAAGGGATGGATCAGCCATCATCTCCCCCACAACAAGGGCATCCATGTGAATGCTACATTCCCCCACAACAAGTAGCAACATGCAGATATTATCACCCATCCAAGGCTCCAAGCACGTCATAGCTCACAATGACCTCAATGTTTAGTGCCAGCTTCGTCCACCATTTGGAGAGGTAGACAGGCAATCCCTCTTAGTCAGAGTCCATTTGTCTCTGCTTGCCTCTCCAACACTCCTTGACAATCCAAACCCCTACCAGAAACCACCTCCTCTGCATACATACTTGCAAGTTGCTTGCCTTGTCGGTGGCAAATGCCTTACCATATTCTTGTCGCTTGTTTACGAGGGCTGCTCATCCCAATCACAAAGCAGCATAAGCGGTTAACAGGGACCCCCACTTTTCAGCCCCAGTTAACCCCCTCAACCCTGAAAAGCAACACCCAGAGCTCAACGTGCAACCGTAACTGATGCCTCTGGACAAAGTAGTTTCAAACATGCTCCTGCACCTGTTCATGGCAAGCACTTCATAGACTCCCACCTCAGCATCCAATCACTCGATTCACCTTCTCAGACCCCTTTGATCTGTCTGCTGGAACCCCCCCTTAGACTGTGAAAGGCAACCTCCATAAGCAATCATATGTTTTGGCATTCCATCGACGATGACCCACACGCATTGCAGCTGTTGATATCATTCTTTAAGACGCCTCGTACTCAACATCTCAAGTGCCCGTCAGTCCTCTCAGGCCTATCACATTGTCATCCCAGCCACCTCTGCACTGACCACTGGTTCCTTTCACCTAACCACTATGACACCGGAGTCCGGAAGGCATTTGGCACAGGGCGCCCCTGTGATCGGTGTTACTGTCTTCTTCACCTGAATAGAACACCCGGTCATTATCGCTGCATCTAGTCCCAAATTGCTCCAAATACAGGTACAATTACCGGGCATTCCATTTGGATGAAGACGGTAGTCTTGCTTACGTTCCCTTGCTCTCCAACAGATCCCTGCAGCTTGCTGACAGTACGAAGGCAAGAATGGATCAGGGGGTTAGGCACAGAGAGGCACTTTACGCCCTCTCCTAACGACACTTCTCGCCGTCCTCTATCATCGCCGCGTAGTCACGGTGTCCTATTTGTTATCCGTACCTGAAGGAAGTCTTGGAAGCTTTGCTACTTGCAGTCTCAGGCACATATTTGTCACGTGTGGCTGTCAAATGACTGCAAGTGAAAGATTGATTGCGGGTTACCTATCTTTGAGCTCTCTTCAGCATGATGTACATCTTTTGATGTTGTGATATGACCTGCTCAAACCTATAAGTGCAGTACTACCATTCACCTCTCCCTTAATTGCAGATCCAACGCACAACTCAATCTGCCCTTCACACCCTCTACTAAAAACACCTCGCTCTCGTCTTTTTGCACATAGTCACACTGCCCTATCTGTTATCTGTTATCAGTACCTGGAGGAGTCTTGGAAGCTTTGCTGAACGCAGTGTTTCGCATGGCATCGTCACCTGCCGCTGTCTCTCAGGCACCACAAACATTTTTTGGTGTTGTGATATGGCTCCGAGGCATAGGCCTCGGTAAGCCCTACTGGGCCCCTATTTGCAACAGGTCGGCCGCCCTAAGTGAAGGCAGGTCCGACAGACGACAAGAGGCCTATTTTTGACTACTTCGCAACTGGGGAAAATTCAGGCAGTTGTGCATCGTCAGTTGGTTGAAGGCGCCCAGGCCCTGGCCTCCTTTATCGACTGTATCTAAGTCAGGCCCTGGGCGAGATACGCAGCATAGGCCCAACTCAGACAGCGGGCAGTTGGGCACGGGTAACTGTCGGTGGCCCTGGGCCTGATTCGTTTGGTCCGAGGCTCAGCCTCCCTGGGCCTACCGGAAGCCTCTGGGCAGGAACCCAGTGCAGCCAGGCTGGCCACTTCCATTTAGGAAGGGGCCAGCCTACGCATTTGACATTCGGGCACTGGCTGCTTTGTGCGCAAGCGCTGCTGCGCTATCGCCTGCCAGGCTCACGCGCTCACGGGCAAGCTGGAAGGAGCAGGCAGCCATAGCCGAGCTGCGCTGCTGTATGCTGGATGGGGCGCATGGTGGTCCTTGGGTGCAAGCGGCATCTGTGAGTTGGGGAACGAGGTTGTGAGTGATACGAGAGACATACCTGGTGCTTGACGCGTGCGGCATTGGCCGAGGTCTGCTCGTACTTGGGAAGCTGTTGACGTCATCAGCGGCATTGTAGTCTGGCTAGATAGGATCTGCCATTCGTAGTCTGGGCGCCGAGCGCCAGATAGGATATCAACATTGGTTCTTCGATTGATGACTATTTCGGCATTGTCAATTATGAGCTTTTGGTGTGCTCTTATTTGGTGAAACTCGTAATGCAATTCCGCTTTTGGTTCGAGGTCACGACTATCTGGTCTCATGTGTATGATGCTGTTTGATTGCTGAAGTTCGCTATTGCTCATCTTCCTTGCATGGCCTACTTTATCCCTATACGGATTCCTACCATCCACCTTTCCTTTCATTGTACATTCGATGGACAGGTGACAGGTCAAACCTGCCCTCACCAGTGCTGGCACAGCTTGAGTGATGGTTCTTACGAACCCCCTTCTCCACGGGTCCTTGCAGTCGAAGCTTCACTGGTCGAGAACCCGCACCATCTATAGAGTTTTGACTTCTTCCTTCAAGGAAAGACGAGACATCACCACACCAATCACCATCACTGATAGTCCATCGCCTTCACTCGGACGCGCTGCGTTTGGCCACACTCACCTAACGATCATCATCATCTGCTGAACTACTCGAGTTGCAGTCTCCACATCCTCATAATGGCCACACTCAGCAACCCCAGCCTCAGAGACGCACATGGCCTGCAGCTTTATCAGCTTAGCAGATCTCCCAAGCCAGTGCTCGGTGCAGCTATCACACACGATAGCCGCATAATCGTTGCACCTATCGTGCCCTGAAGAACGGTTAGGAAAGGTTCGCAGACCATTAGAACTACACCACACATATCTGCTTTCTAAAATACTGAAGCAGAAATGGAAAGCATAATGTAGTTGACAGACTAACAGAGGCACAGGAAGCACAAAAGACATGTCGCATTGTGGTAGCGCCTTGTTTATGGAAAGCAACAACGAGACCCTCCTGAAGCGACCGACTTTGTTGAGCCTTCTTGGTAGGCGAGACAATGCTTCTGGTGAGGATAACAAAGCCGACAAAAAGCTTTCCGGTATAGAACAGCCAATGCAATGTCCTGGTCAGACGTTGCATTCTCGATGTGGGTCATGTTCAGACTTTAATACAACTAGCAGCAACAATGATAGCATATAATAATTATTTCATCAGGAGGGAAAAAAGGGATCAAAGTCTCAAAAGAGAACTGAGAACAATTTCCTTCTTCTTCATCAATTCGCTACTTCTCACTTAGGCGTTGCCATATAGACAATGAACCCCACCCAAACATGACAATCGTCATCTCCTCGATCTCCCCCAAATGCTCAGCAGCAGCTTCGGTTCCAGCTTTCATTTAGAGATTTTAGAAGGCTTAAAATCCCAAATGATATGGCCAGTGGCCACTACCCAACTGATTAGACCACCACAATGCAATTGACAAGCTTGCACAGAGCAGCAAAGATTTCGCAAAACATGAGCAGTTTCCGACAACAGAATAAACATCACACAGGTTACGTCACACAAAAAACACCCCAATCACGTCTCTCTCTCTCTCTCTCTCTCTCTCTCTCTCTCTCTCTCTCTCTCTCTCTCTCTCTCTCTCTCTCTCTCTCTCTCTCT